ACGATACTACTGACCTGCATCACAAAGTGCTCTCTGGAGGCTCCGTTGACTCGGCTGGGGGGTCGTCCTCTCCTTCCCAAAGGCCTGTGAGCCAAGCGACCTGCATGCAGCACCGCGATACGCTTGGTGCAGCTCACACTGAACCTGAACAAAAACAGCCGTGAAATGTTTGATTAACCCTTAGAGCACAGGTGTGTGTCCTTGATCCAACACAGCTGATTTAAATGGCTAAACGACCTCCTTCAGGTGTCTTGACCCAGGTTGATATCTAAAACCTGCAGGACACCAGCACTCGAGGCCTGGAGTTCGACACCCCTGCCTTAGAGGATCCTGGGGACATGTTGGGCCATTCCATTTTTTTAAATGGTATTTTTGGCGGTGCTGATATTAATTTTATCCTCAGGCCAAAAAATGTCCAATTGAAAATCACTGAAAATACAACTTTTGATGTTTTCTGCAAAAGTGCCTTGCTGCTGAAATGATAAGTGTGTGTCCTACTGATGTTGGATGATGGTGTGCATGTGTGTGCATGTGTGCGATATCCACCTTCAAGTCTGTTCTCTTAGAAGGCCACACTCGGTGTTATGAACTAATTCGATAACAGTGAATGATGAGAACCCTTTCAGAGCTTCAACAATATCTCAGCAGCAGGAACCAAAACAAAATTGGACTTTATTTTGGTTCTCACTCAAGTAGTTTATGCATCTGCACGGCAGCCACAGTTAGAAGTATGCGCAGTAGTGCAGGAGCAGTCGTTTTGGAGATGGCAAGACTTTACAGCACACACAGGCTCTGGAAGTGATCGTGAACCATGAGTGTTAAGATGGCATCCTCCTCCTCTGAGGACTCTGAGGCTGACATGGAGGAGGCCTCAGAGGTAGAAATGGACCAGCTGGAGTCCAGCTCTGACTCATCTGAAGGTGAGAGTGGAAAGGTTTGGTTGAAGCAGTGACAGGATAGACTCCTCAATCTCTTCTCCATCTTGGTCAACCCCATATTTTGGTCCCCCACAAAAACTGCAACACTCTGCAACGCCCCAGCAGCCAGAGGTTTGATCCCTGGAACTACACACTATCCCACCAGCTATGCACTGCTGCTGGATGAAATCCTGCAGCAAACTGTGGCCCTGACAAACCTCTTTTCCTTAGGGTAAAAAGAGTGAGGATTTTTAAGGGTTATTTAAGAGTAAATAAATGCTCTAAGAGCTTGGAAGGAAATGCGTCTGGACTTCTTTAGGTTTTTTGAAAACTATGATGACCTGGATGACGGATAACCTGCACAGATGGTTAATTAGTGCATTCGTCCCTAATGTTATTATATCACATCATCCTTGAAGTCTGTGAATAAGTTGGGAAAGGTAGCATCGGGACTCTGAGCTGTCCTCTTTTTGTTGCTTTGATGGAGACTCGGGGAAACCTGGGAGTGATTATCTACTTGCGTCAGCGGGCTGCAGATGTCAGATGATGTAATTCAACTTTACTGACACAGACTGTAATTTTCTGTAGTTTCTGCGGAAGAAAAAAGTGCTTTGTTGTTAAAGCAGACAGTTCGTGAGTGTTGCTCATGTTTTCCACAGACTCTAAGACAGTGTGGTGAACCTCAGCCGAATGACACACACCAACACTGAAAACAACAAAATAAAAAGATTCAAAATAATGAATCATCATTGTTCTCACAGACAAAGATCAACTTTTCATAACAAACCATAAAATATTACAATTTACACAGACTTTGTATTATGCATCGGCCCTGTGTTGTGAAACGCTGATTCTAGGATTTTTATTGCCATCATAAATTCTTGTTTTGTGTTTCTTTTTAACACACCCCTTGTGTTCCTCTTGTGAGTGCTTCTTCCAGCGTACTTCCTGTTTTATTTTGAAGGTGGGATCCTAATGTGGTTTTCCACTACTACTACTACTATGTCCTTTTACTTCCCATCTTTGCTCTTTTAATTTCTGATTTAGGTTACCTGTTCCCTAAGTCTGCATGTCTTAACCCCTTTTTATTTCATAGTTTGCAAATGCCCAATGCATCTGCTCCATCGCTTCACATTATTTTCTCCCATCGGTGATGGGAGAGGAGGAGGTGAGGAAGAGACATGAGAACAAATGAGCTGAGGGAACAGGCACTTAGAAAATTGAGTCATCCTCACAAATGTCACACCTCATTTTAAAGAGATGCCAATGAAATGTGTCATTTTTGTTCTAGCAGACCCACAGCTGGATTTTATGACATCAGACATAACTGTGCTCATGACAATTTCTAATAAATAAATAAATAGAATTACTTTAATTTAACACATGGTGCTTTTTTGTGCAGGGCAGAAACTTTGATCATGTTAAATAATGTGAAAAAAAGGATGACTTGTTTAAAAAGAATCCTCCTCCCACTATGACTTGTATATTCCAGCTGTTTCCCACAACTCTTTTATATGCTAAAGGTAAATAAATGCATCCACAGTGGACACGCATTTGCATTCTCAATTATAGCTAAAGCGTCCTCTCTCCTCAGTCCTCCTGATATATTTTAGGAATTGAGATTTCCTTCAACATGGTGAACTGAGATTGATTTCATGGTCACGGGCAGCAGGATGGAGGTGATGAAGCGCCTGTTTTTTCATGCTGGAGGACCACTGAGCTTACGTGATGGTGAGGTGTCTGCCTTCAGGTCACAAAAATTGGTCTGATTTTAGTGAAAGTCACACACGATGACCATAATGATGGGTCTTCGTCTGAGCTGTGCTCAGGTTGCTCATATTGGTCGTTTTACTGCCACTTTTCCGTTCTGCACTTCCCAGATTACAATAACCTGTGAGTTGTGATGCATCATGAACCAAAGGAGCTACTAGATGATTAAGGTTTTGTTTTTGCTTGGTTGTTTTTTTTGTTTCAGCTGTTTCAGTGTCGTTCTTTATGTTGGCGATTGAAGTGTCTTTGGCCTGGTTGTCTGTGTTGGTTATAGGTTAAAACCCCTTCTTTCTTTTTTTTTTCTTTTTTTTTGTGGCAGCAGTTTTTTTTAGCATATTTTTATAAGTTTTCCCAGCAGAACTCTCACCTGGATCTCATGTTGTTAGTCTGAACTTCAAATATATCATCCAGTCATCCCCACAAAATGTTCCCAGGGTTAAGGTAATTTGTTTTTGTTTGTTTTTTTAAAACAGCTAACAGCACTGTAGCCTAACAGAACCAAAACATTAATTGTTTTGGAGCTATTTTCATCAGTGGATTAATTCAGATTTCAGTCCCTGCTGAGTATTTACTGTATGATGTACACTCACATAGCACATATATTTGTGCTAACTGGTCGTTAGCACAAATATTTAATCAGCCTATCACACTGCAGAATGGCCAGACTGTTTCAAGTTGATAGCAAGGCTACAACTCAGATAGCCATTCACAACTCATTATAACCAAGGTATGCAGACGTAAAACCTTGAATCAGATGGGCTACAGTAGCAGGAGACCACAGTGGATACCACTCCTGTCAGCTAAGAACAAAACACTAAGGCTCTAGTTCACAGGAGCTCACCAAAACTTGCAATAGATGATTGTAAAACTATTGCTCGTCCTCGATTTTCTTGGTACACTTTGGGCCTCTTGTACCGACTGAGCACCATTAAAACACCACAGCCTACCCGAGCTGCAGACTATGTCTATCCCTTTATGACTATAGTGTAACAATCTAATAATAGCTTCTTTCAGCAGGATAACACCAAAACCCCAAAGCTCAAATCATCTCAAACTGGTTTCTTTAACATGGCAATGACTTCACTGTAAATGCCCTCCACAGTCACCAGATCTCAGTCTAGTAGAGCACCTTTGAGATGTGGTGCAATAAGCAAAGCTTATGAGCTTATGGCTGATGAGCGTCTCGTAACCTACAGTTTGTTCATGTTAATAGGGTGAATCACTGAAACTATGTTTCTTTTGTAATAAATAATTACACTAGAGGACAAAACTTAATACGTTGTGTAAATGTTTTATTTACCTTCTGACACACGACATGGAGCAGAAGCGTTTGGAGCGCAGAAACGTGCGAGCGTAGCCGCTGCTTCCACAGTACTCACACTGCAACACGTCTGGCACACTCTCCCCGAGCTCTGCAACTTCAGAGGACCAGCTGTTAATCATGCATGTTCACACACACACACACACACACACACACACACACACACACACACACACACACACACACACACACACACACACACACACACAC